CCTTTTCTAACTTGTTACATTTTACTGAAGACGGCCAATAGTCAGAAATACGTATATGTGGTTGCCGTTGATCTTATACACATATTTTATTATATTTTGTTCCCTTTGTTGCGAGCTAAGCCGATATCTTTTACCTTTATGATATATATATATATATATATATATATATATATATATTATATATATATATATATATATATATATTTATATATATATATATATTTATATATATATATATATATATATATATATATATATATATATATATATATATATATATATATATATATCTGTTATCTAAAATCTTAAATATAACCTTATTCAGCTAGTTTATTAACATTAAAACCTAGAGAATGAACACGGTGTGGTCACTCAGTCAAAAATAAACAATATACAGTTCTTAATAAGTTGGGGAATATGGATGGTAATATCTGTATTAGTTGTTTTTTATAAGTATTTAATAAGTATTTGACGAAACAAGAGGTTTCTAAAATGATGTTAAAAAAAGAAAGCATCTCCTACTACTATCATACTCAAGTCTGATTCAAGATGTATGCAGCCTTCAGGTAACAAGCGATCAGAAGCAGATAACTCATTTGCTCGAAATGTTATTAACACATTTCCAAAATATAAAAGCCACTACAGTAGAAGTCACACTTCAAAGCAGTATTTAAAGCGATAATTAAATTTACAGATCTTACTTACTATACCACTGACGCTCCCTTGAGTGTAAGTATTTTTCCAAACATATTTAAAACTCCCAATTTAAAATTTAAAAAGCCATCTAATGACACTTGCAAAACCTGTGATTTATTATTTCTGAAAATAAAAAGCTGTGTCTCTGAAGAAGAAGAACAAAGATTAGAAAATGAACGCCAGCAACACAGGATAAGGCTTCCTTTCATTATACAACAGAGCTTACGAAAAAAGTATACGGAGCTTACAACAGCTTATAGTAATTGCATATGATTTGCAAAAGTGTTTGGCTACACCTGATTTGACTTATACTCATCGAGCAATAAGACAAAAGAGGGAATCTAATCGTTATGAAAAGGAGACTAAAAAAGTGGCCTCTGATGGCGGACATATCCGGAAATGCAAATGCGCCAAATTTAAATTTCATGACACTTTACAATAATCATACAGTGGTGTAGGGGTTCTAATTTATCTATTTATTTATTTTATATTACATAATATTTTATATTATATATTTATCTATTTATTTATTAAAATACTTGTTTTAACACTAGAACACAATAAAGTTTTAATTAATTAATAACGATAATAGTCTAAAATGTTAAACAATTGTTAAAAAACTTCAATAGAAAATATAAATAAGCTTTCATGTGACAGTTTTGACAAACAATAACATCAACAATAACATAACCCAACTAAATTTGATTTCTTAAACAAGGAAAGAGATTCTCTTTCTTTGTTTAAAGTGGCCTCTCAAAATAGCACTTCCTGTCTATCAATATGTTTACCCCCACTACCTTTACATTCCCTCTTTTGTCTTATTGCTCGATGCTTATACTACACTACACTAATTTTAATAGAGTGTGGCTTTCTATTTGACGATCCGAAACTATCACCACAAAACGGACATCCTGTTAGGTGTGGCACGAAGGTTTAGCTCAACGAGGAACTGATCATATCGCATCTTGCTTATTTCGGAAGTCAAAACCGCAATTATTGCCGATTATGTTTTTAAGAGCACTTGAAGAAAAGAAAACTCTGAAGGAAATTCATCATAAGTTCCTAATTCCTAATCATACTTATTTAGAATGTGATACAGATCATACTAGCAAGATCTGTGAAAAAAATAAACGCTACAATTTCGGTTCCACAGGACTGGTTATCGGTAATTAAAATGACAAGTCTTCTTCAGAAATTTTTTTATAAACGTAAGCATATATCCTTGAACTCCCCATTTATCAAATTTATTTAATATGAGGTATCTCCATGTTGTATCGAAAGCTTTATTCACATAAAAAAAGACTACCATAACTTTCTGATCTAGTAAGAATGCATCATGAATGGTTGACTCAAGTGCCTCTAAGTTGTCGTTAGCAGATCTTTCTCGTCGAAAACCACTTTGGACTGTGGTCAGGATATTTTCATTCTCTAGATACCATGTAAGCCTGTAATTTAAAAACTTCTCGAGAAGTTTACACATGCTACAGGTAAGGGAAATAGGTCGGTAAGATGTGGGACAATCTTTTGGATTGTGTTTATAAATTGGGGTTATAATAGCTTTGGTCTAAGTATCAGGAAAGTAATGATTTAAAAATATGTGATTAAAGATGTCTAAAAGTATCTTTTTGCCTTTTTGGGATATACTTGTTAAAAATATTAATGGAATATCATCAGGACCTGGGGATGTGGTTTTTAAGTTAAAAAGAGAAAAATCTAGTTCTTGCAAAGTTATGGATGCATTTATGGAAGAGATCTGGTTGCGAATTTTGATGTCTACAGATTCTGTGGTAATCTTGTGTGTAGAAAAGATCGGATCTAGTACAGAATCGTTAGAGTTTTTTTAAATACGTCTACTAGAATTTCAGGAATTTCGTTTCTACAAGAGGTAATTTGGTTGTTATATGAAAGTGCATTTATTGAGTAAGGTAAACTTGATTTTTTTATTTTCTTTTTTTTTCCAGATTATATTTGCTGGGGTAGATGTGTTAATGCTTCTAACATATTCAATCCAGGTCTCTTTCTTACTCTTTTTAATTAAGAATCGTCTACTAGCTCTCAAGCTCTTAAATTTTATTAGGTTTTACTCTGTTTTGTGTCTCTTATGAACGTTAAAGGCGTGCCTGCTAGCAGACAAGGCCCAAGAGATTTCTTGATTCCACCAAGGTACTAGTTGCCTTTTACACGGTTTGGTTTTTCCTACAGATGTAATGCACAATTTAAGATAATGTTGTTAAAGTTAAACTAAACTGTAGTTATTATTGTAAACTTATTACTGTAGTTAAAGTAAACTACACGCAAAAATAGGTAGTAAATTCTGACGTTACTAATTTATTTCTTGTTTATTTATATTTTTTTGTTGCAGTCTTTCAGAGCTTGCCTAAATAGACATTCAGAAAAATCTTAAATCATAGAGGGGATATAATACATTTCGGTCTTACTTCTGGTTCTATTATGGTTTTTTTAGTTTACTGGTCTTTCATTATTACTTTGGTAGTTTGATTGTAATAAATAATTTTGAGATTTTTCAGGCTTTCCTTGTTAATTCCTGTTATACTTCCTAGAATTATTATTTTGTTATGTCTTACTGTATAATAAACCTATACTAATATTGTTCTGAAGGTATTTCTGATACAATTTTAGTATTAGTTAGTATAATTGATGGATTTGAAGTTACTTGATGGAAATTCATTTTATGTAACAATAAAATACTGAAATACTGAAACAAAAGTTTTCAGTGTTTTATTGTTACGTATTGTTTAGTATTTTTATTAGAAGTTAATTATAGTTAACCTAAACGTTTTCATTTTTATTTTGAGAACGATTTTCGTTCGAAGTGGAAATCGAAAAGTCAAAATAAACTCATTTGGAAGTAAAATTGTGACTTATTTTCAATAAAAATGGTAAATTGTAATAAAATGTCACAAGAAAATAGCTTAAAAACAACATTTTAGTTGAAACACAAAAACATATCATATATAATAGAGAAGAATTACGTCATAATCACCATGTTTGGCTCGACAATCCTCTGTGAATCTTAGCCTGCTCTAAGATTAGTCGCCATTCTGTTTGGTTTCTGGCAACGTGTTGTCATCTTTTGATCTCTAGTATCCCTAAGTCAGTCTTAACTAAATCAAACCACCTAATTTGCGTTTGGCTTATGGTGTTTCTTTTTATAGATGTTTCTGTCGTCAGCTTTTTAGCAATCATATTGTCAGGCATTAGTATTATGTGTTTGGCCTATCTAAGTCGCTAAAAGTCACTAAAGAGTTGGTATAATTAGAAATTAAACCTGTGGCGCCATACCCCTTATTCGTTTATAGCTGCAAGTATTTCGCGGAGTATCTTACGCTCAAAATATTCCTAAAAGTTTTTTATCGTTCTGAGTTTCCGAGTCCATGTTTCCGCCCCGTATGTGACGACCAGCTTCAGCAGTGTTTCGTATGTAATAATTTCATATAATGGTTTTTATACTCCATAGTATGCTCTATTTGTAAAGTTTATACGTCTTTTAATTTTCTCGCTTGTTTTATTGGTATTAGTCACTAGCAAGCCAAAGTATGTAAAGCTGTCAACACGTTTAAGGATATGACTTCTAAATGCTGTTTCTCGTTCCTTATTTGCTATAGGATCCTCACTAATCAAGATGTCCTTGGTTTTTTCTACGTTAATAACTAGACTGACCTGTTTCGCCGCTGTTTTAAATTCTAGAAAATATTGCGAAACATCTCGCTAGCTACGCCCTATTATGTCAATGTCATCAGCGTATGCTAAGATTTGTATAGGTCTAAATGGTAAAAGTACTGTAAATGGTACCGTCGTGTCTAATTCGTATGCCTTGGACTAACTTTTCCAAGGCATTGTTAAATAGGAGGCAGATCAGGGCATCCCCTTGTCTAAGTCCATTCTTTATCTCAAAGTATCGAGAACTACGTAGAACGTTTTAATAGACTCTGGAAATTCTTTTATTATAACTTAGATCGAGGATCTAATAACTCTGCGTAATTAAAAAAAAAATTATTTGATACCTTTTGTACCTTTTATTTAATGAATATTGTAATTTATAATGTATTTATAAATTGTTATATTGTCTGGGAACTAACCGCATATGTAACTACAATATATTTTAGTTGTCGGTTTGAACTTCAACTCCTAAATTAGTATTAAAATAAAATCAAAACTTTTGTTTTTTCGTAATATTTTATTTAAAATCATTCTTTCTATTTCACTTTAAGTACGGATCTGGACTTAGGCATCTTATATCTACTATAAAAATAATAGCGACATCACTTAAAAAATTAAAAGAAGTCAGAATGGCTCTCGCAGCACTACCGACATCGTATGAATACTACACGAATGGTGGTATCACCGCTGGGTTGTCTGATCAACAGCCCTATTTTACACTTAACAATAAAAATATTACCATATACAGTGGCGCTTTTCACTATTTTCGGGTTCCAAGAGCCTACTGGAGGGATCGATTAAGGAAAATGAGGGCGGCTGGACTTAATACTGTAGAAACTTATGTTCCCTGGAATTTACATGAACCGCAGTCAGGTAAGTTTATATTTATTGTTTAAATACTAAAATAAAAATATTTCAAAATCAGCTGTTTAATAAATCGTTATAGAAAAAGATAAGGCATTCTGTGTCTTCAAGTATTTTAGGAGAGGAAATAAAGGTCAAAAGTGTAGATAAATAAAATGTTTAAACTTATATTTCAACGACAAGATATGTACATGTAGCAATATAGTTTATATATACATATATGTATAGATATATAGATTATGTATATATATATAGTTATATATATATATATATATATATATATATATATATATAGTTATGTATATATATATTTATATATATATAACATTAATTCCAATAATAACACGTTCTGCCTAATGCTGTATTGGGCAGAACTGTGTTATGGGACTCAAACTACCCATTACTCATCTCTACCTTATTTTCCTTAAGTTTTTGAAAAACTTGGTAAACTATACAAACAGAATAATGTACCTCCTTACCCTATCTTTCTTTATTTAATCGTAATTTCTGAGACTGGGTTCCCACTTAAGACATCAGGATCAGCGTTGTTAGTTGCGAAGGAAGGTAAAGTATCTTCGTTATGGATAGTGTTAAACAAAATCTTATTTACTAATGGTGTTGGATAAGCGTTTGAAAAAATTTATTGCTCTATTTTTCATCTGTTTGATTAAGTTGACTTTGGTAGAATTATTATGGTAAGAGTTTTAGTTAAGGTATCTACCAGAATGGATTGGTTTTTGATACCAATCTACTTTAATGTTGTTGTTTTCCCTGATCACCCTTACGTCGAGAAAGGGAACGGACCAATTATCATCTTTCCTCTCTATAGTGAACTGGATGTAGGGGTCATAACTATTGAAAGTGTCTAATAGTTTATCTACCTTGTCATTGGGTATAGCCAAAATGATATCATCAACATATTTTTTAATAAATGGAATTTGAAAGGATAGTTAAGGAATGACTTAGTCTAACACATAATCCATAACGTAACTTGCAATGATAAGAGAAATCTTTGCTCCCATAGGGGTACCGAAACTTTGTTGATATAATTTACCATTAAATGAGAAGTAAGTGTTCTTAAAGAGAAATTCGACGATGCTGATAAATCGGTCATAAGATATGGAACAACAACCTCTAATACGGTCCCGTTGATTTTTATTTATGTCAAACATATTCCTAGATGAACGTTGCTGAATAAGGATACAACGTCAAGGCTAACGAGGACATAATTTGATGGTAGTATGTAATCATTATATTTATTTACCATCTCAAAAGTATCTTTATTGTAATATTGTATTTCATAATTATATGCATTAATAAGTATGTCTGTAACAGAAGCTGAGATATTTTTAGTAGGAGTTTGATAGTCTTCAGTTTGACTTAATCTTGGAGCATATTGCAGCAGTCCTATGGTCAATCTACTCTGTGAAGCTGGAGACCTACCATTAAACCTAAAAAGAAAATATTTAACTTTATTGTATGTCTCTAACTAAATTATTTAATAAAATATACCACGATGGTCAAATCCCGGATGAATGGTTAAAATCTATCTTTTTACCGGTACCCAAGAAAAATAATCCTAAATCTTGCGATGAGTATAGATTAATTATTAGCCTTATAAGCAACACTTTAAAAATACTACTCAAAGTTATTCAGCAGCGTATATATAAAAAATGTGAAGAACGATTAGACAATACACAATTTGGATTAAGATATGGAATGGGAACAAGAGTGGCACTGTGCGCAATGACGGTACTATTACAAAAATGCAAGGAATATAATAAAAACGTATTCATAATATATGTTATATAGATTTCCAAAAAGCTTTTGATAGAGTCCAACAAGGTAAACTCATACATGCATTGAAACACATACACCTAGATCCCAAGGATATTAATTTAATCAAAAATCTGTACTACAATCAAACAGCGGTCGTACGGGTGAAAGATAGTGGGACAAACCAGGTGGAAATTCAAAGAGGAGTCAGACAGGGATGTGTGCTGTCGCCACAATTATTTAATGTGTACTCCCAACTAATATTTCAGGAGGCACTATGGAAAAAAACTGAAGGTGTAAGGATTGGAGGGAGCATCATTAATAACATAAGATTTGCAGACGATACCGCAATCATGGCAGAGAATATATACGATTTACAAACTCTCCTGGAAATCATTAACAGAGAAAGCAAAAAGATGGGACTAACAACGAATATAAATAAAACCAAATACATGGTGATCTGAAAAAACCCTGTTAAAAACATACAGCTGACATTGGAGGGTAAACCCCTAGAGAGAGTCGACAAATATAAATACCTCGGAGCAATTATAAACTCACAGTTAGATCAAGAGCAGGAGATAAAGGTCAGAATAGAAATAGCTCGAAAAGCTTTATAAAATACAAGTTAATGTTTACAAATAAGAAATTGAGTATGGCCATCAGATTGAGGTTCGTCGAATGTTATGTTTGGTCGCAACTACTATATGGGGTAGAAGCTTGGACTCTGAAAGCCCAATCTATAAAAAAATTGGAGGCATTCGAAATGTGGCTATATAGGCGTATTTTTAAGATTCCTTGGACTGCAAAAGTCTCAAATGAGGAAGTGTTAAGACGAGTTGGACATGGCAGAAAGCTTATGAACACAATTAAAATAAGAAAAACATCGTATCTGGGCCACATACTCCGAAACGATAAATACTCTCTGCTACAAGTCATCATGCAAGGTAGAGTAGAGGGAAGAAAAGGCTTCTGAAGAAAGAAGAAATCTTGGCTGAGGAATATCAGAGATTGGACTAACCTCAGTGTTGAACAGATATTTTACGTTGCAAAAGATCGAGAAGCGTTTAAAGAAGTGATCGCCAACCTTCGTTAGAAGACGGCACAAGAAGAAGAAGAAGATCGTATGTCTCAAATATTAAATCGAATCCAAAAATCTAGCTCTCCATCATGCTGTTGCGAACAGGTTCCAGAAAGTCTATTAAAAAAGAAATAGGGGTCCTGTACCTTTCTAGGAACGAGCAACTAGATACTTATTAGATCGTAGGCTTCCACGGCCAGAGTCAGAATTATAATTTATTCGTCTTCCGGGTTTGGACCGTGTCATTTGTGAGTGACCCAAAAGTGGGTTCATCTCGACGTTTCGCTACAATTGTATGTAGCTTCTTCAGGAGAACAAAGAAAAAGAAAAAGAAAACAAAAGACAGGAAGATGGGTAGTTAGCAACGGTAACTCAGTTACTCAACGCAACCAGAGGCGAATACTAACTACCAAGATGGGCATTTGGTCACAGTAACTCAACTACTCAACGCAGCCAGAGGTGAAAACCAAATGCCAGGACAGGGATTCACGTCCAACAGCTCAGAACACTAACGCGTCGAGAGGCGGGGAGTGAAATGCCCATCTTGGTAGTTAGTATTCGCCTCTGGTTGCGTTGAGTAACTGAGTTACCGTTGCTAACTACCCATCTTCCTGTCTTTTGTTTTCTTTCTTTTTCTTTTTCTTTGTTCTCCTGAAGAAGCTACATACAATTGTAGCGAAACGTCGAGATGAACCCACTTTTGGGTCACTCACAAATGACACGGTCCAAACCCGGAAGACGAATAAATTATAGATACTTATTATATTTCAATATTGAACTACCTCCCATATCCTACATGTGAAATAAATTTATGTGTTCCTGGAGTTGTTCCCCCTTCGCTTTGTAACCTTAAACTATATATAACAAAAAATATATATATATAAACAAAAAATAAATATATATATATATATATATATATATATAAACAAAATTTTTATTATATACACGAACGCATCTATTACCATAAATTGGATACTGGCTTTGTGATATCACATCAACATTCCATCTATAAATGATCTTCTGAGACAAGTATTTTTACAGCAGAACTATTTGCCATAATTAAGACCCTAACCTTTATTTCAGAAAAAAAAAGTTCCCAAATCTCTTATAATATCTCATTCCCTTTGTTGTCTGACATAAGTTTCTCAGATTTATCTCTGTCATCCAATATTACAGCAGAATAAATTAATTTCATACCTTATATACCAAAACAATTTAACAGAAGAGTACCTCAGGGTACCGTCACTCTTGAAATAGATGGTAACGAAAAGGCAGATAGACTAGCTAGATCTGCAGTAACCAGAAGAGACGCATCAGTAAAAATCTAATGGTGCATTTTGATTTAAAACCCTACTTAAAAGCAAAATTGAACGACGTTTGGCAAAACCAATGGAATAGCAGCACACTAAACTTCCGTTCATTTCCGTCCTTCCATAGAACTTCTGGCCTACATAGCGACAACAATAAGTCGATATAACACGTCTCATAGTAGGACACACTTCTACAATACATGAATACTTGTTAGAGAGAGAAGAATAACCAGTGTATGTTGTTTGTGAATGTAAAGTAACAATGTAGCACATTTTGATTGACTGTCTAATAGACTCAGTTGAATGACTAAATCACCACATTCCAAAAACATTAAAAGAACGTCTAGGAGAATCTAAATAAGTAGCTGACTTGATAGAATTTTTAAAATCTATAAACTTTTTTAATAAAATTTAACACAATACATTAATAATTAAAATATGTATTGCAGAACTTATTATGTAATTGATATTTTGTATATGTCTATGTATGTTTTTATCACTTTTTGTATGCCAATAACCCTAACTGGTTGAAGCAAAATAAATTATAAAAAAATGGCGGGGGCAAAGGTGATCAAAACTAAAAACTTAGTTCAAATATACAATTACATACATTTACATTGAAAAAATAAGTTTTGTTATTTTTTTTTCCTAATCTTTCTATTTTGAATGAACATTTTTATCTCTTGCGATTAAGAGACACATTATACCAATTCTGCAATTTAAATACGTAAATTTTGCTAATAGGAACATACATACCTAATGTAACTAACATAACATTATTACCAGAAATAAATAGATATTTATTTTCCCTTATTCTATTGTCCAACAAACTTGTTTAAATACAA